TCCTATCTTCTTCCTCCTCCTCCTTTTTTGAAGTCATGGGGCTTGAACTCTGGGCCTGGGCACTGTCCCTCAGCTCTTCAGATCAAGGCAAGCACTCTACCACTTGAGCCACAGTGCCACTTCTGGTTTTCTATGCTTTATTGGAGATAAGAGTCTCATCGACTTTCCTGTCTGGGCTGGCTTTGAACCATGATCCTCAGATCTCAGCCTCCTGAGTAGCTAGGATTACAGGCATGAGTCACCGGTGCCTGGTTTGCTTTTACTTCTTGATTAATATCTAGTAGGATATTTAGCATTATATGTTTTTCTTCATTTGTACTTTTGAATCTGTTGGTATACTCTTAGTACGTTTTAAGTAGCTGTTAAAAAAATACCAGAGATCAAAATGTTTATAAAGAAAAGGGGTATATTTGTCTTACATTTTTGGACATTGAAAATCCAAGGTCAGGGGCTGGGAATGTGGCTTAGTGGTAGAGTATTTGCCTAACATGTAGGAAGCTCTGGGTTCAATTCCTCACTACCACATCAACAGAAAAAGCTGGAAGTGGTGCCGTGGCTCAAGTGATAAAGTGCTAGCCTTGGACAAAAGAAGCTCAGGGATACTGCCTAGGCACTGAGTCAAGCCCCGGGACTGGTTAAATAAAGAAAAAAAAAGTTGAACAGAAAAAAATAGAAAATTCAAGCGTAAGTAGTTCCATCTGTTCAGCTTTTAGTGAAGGTCTTCTTAATGAGTCAGGTGGAAAAGGAAACAATCTTGTGAGAAGGGGCCACACACAGGGGCGGCCTTGGTTTAGAACAACTTTCTCTCAGTACTAATGCAAGGAAATATATTGCAGGTGATCACTGAGTGGTAACCTATGAATTAGCCACGCCTCTTAAAGATCCCACTTCCTTTCAACATTGGCACACTAGAGCAAATTCTTGGGAGTCAAACCACATTATGGGCTGGGAATGTGGCTTAGTAGCAGAGTGCTTGCCTAGCATGCATGAAACCCTGGTTTCCATTCCTCAGTACCACATACACAGAAAAAGCCAGAAATGGTGCTGTGGCTCAAGTAAGTGCTAGCCTTGCGCAAAAGAAGCTCAGGGACACTGCCCAGGCCCTGAGTTCAAGTCCCAAGATTGGCAAAACAAAACAAAACAAACACGTTACCATGGTAACTTCAAAAAATTCACTTTTATCAGGCCATGTGTGTTACCTGTATAGTTTAAAGGAAATTGACATTTCCATGTTTTTTCCTATATATGGCATGCCTTTGCATTTATTCCAGATATGAAGTGGATTTAACCAGGTATACTTCACAAAGGTGGTGATTTCGGGAAAGAGGGTAAGAACAGAAGCAGCAACCCAAGTGAAGTGGTTCTGCCAGAATCTGGGAGAGCCAATGGAGCACAGCTGAGCGTGGGAGCCATGGCACATTTGGGATCTGTCTAGGATGTAGAGCAATTAACCGTTGCACGAGAGAGAAAGATAAAGGGAAGAATCAGCTCATGCCTGAGTTTTCAACTTGAGCCACTGGGTGGCTAGTGATGTGAGTCAGAGGACAACAGAGACTCCTGGAAGAATGGCTTGCCTAGAAAGGCAGACCTCAAAGCCCAGGGAGACTGTCCACAAAAGCTCTTTCTAGAAAACTGTCACTGGCTAGACCCAACTATGTTTATTAGGGCCTGCACTAGCCCACAAGGCACCTTTGTGTGAATTCGACAATGGTGACTTTTGGGAAAGACAAGGGTGCATGGCTTGTTGAAGAGTGACATAGATTTTAGCTTTTTGCAGTCTGTGAACAACCTGTACAACTGTGCCTGGATGTCTTGGAACTCATTCATTTCTAACTGGGGCTTCTGGCTCAACAACTCCTATGAAGTATCGTCCTGCTGTTTAAGCTCAGCCTACAATGGCCCCTGCCATTTATGTCTATTGATTTCTAGATCTACCAGTCACTTTCAGTCTAACTAGCTGCTGCTTGGTTAATTACACAGTGGAGTAGTTTCAAAACTTTGATTATAATTCATAGAATAAAACATGTCTTTAAATCATCTTAGGTACTATAAACTTGAGAATCAGATATCAATTTGAAAATGGCCTGGTCTATTGGAAAATAAACTAGTTGTATGATACAAGTTTTATCTTCAAGATTATTAGTCTTAAGTGAGTTACTTTGGCTAAATCATTAGTTTAGTGCCTCAACATTGACCCAATCCCCAAGCCTCTAGGGGTTCCCTGGGTCTAAGTGACACTTCTCTAAAGAACTACAAACTTACTCCTCAAATGTAGGTGCTAGGGATTCTGATGAAGTCTGTGTTCAGTCTTCCTTTCCTTGTTCATATCCTGTACCTCCTTCATGAAACAGCAGACTCAAAATACCAATGTCCACAATAGACTCCCCCAGCCCAAGGGATTCTCTCCTTAATTCTTACCACCACGGGGATTTCTCAGGTAGGTTTCACCAATGAACAGTGGCCCACCATTCCCACCAGTCCTTGGTAACTGACAATCCCCCACTTCAGGAATACTCCTTCCTTTTCACCCAATGAGTTTAGATGTAGGCAATGGATGCATTCATGCCCAACCCAACTATCCATCAACCAACTTAGTCATTTCTCTCCATCCCACTAAGAATAGCCATAACTGAAGCAGGGAGGCAAACCCACAATCTCCATCTGACCTACTCATAGCTAAGAGCAATCCCATCACTCCACTGGAGAAAGCAGGCTGATAGTCTATCAGCCTCGGCCTGGTCTTTCCTGCTTCCTCAGGGACTCATCCATCAGTAACCTTGCCTTTCATTTCTCTCCATCTCTCCATCAGTGCTTTAGGAACTCTTCTTAAAAATGTATGGGGATCTCTGTTTCAGATAAAGATGGCTTAGAGGGAAAAGTTGTATTTCCACCATTTTACCTCATTTCAGTCACAATTATTAAGTAATAAACATCACTTTAGATGTGCATTGTGTCTTTAAGAATTTGATCTATTTTCCCAGCATGCCTTGCTCTTCTTTGCTCTTCTACCTCTTCCTTTTTTGCCCACTTGGCCTGAACAGCTAGAATATTATCAAGCAGGTGCGATCTCTTAAAGCACCAACATTATTGCCCTAACAGATTGTAAATGGGTCAGTCAAGTGCAGTCTCCAGGAATGGGAAATTCACAGCTTGTGCTCCCAATCACCCCTCCTTCCCCCAAAGTAACTCTACTTGGTTTATACCTTTCAAATAGAAATCTAAGTGTCTTAGAAAAGTTGTCTTTAAAACATTCTTGAGAGATTAAACAGGTGTTCTGTGTTCTTGGCGTCTTCAGTTCATGAAGTTGTTTTGTGAACTTAGTCAATCTGGCAACAAAATAAAGACAATAATCCAAGCTGGGAGATGATAGTTTCTCTTCCGTGGTGCTTTAGAATCCTGGAGGCAGATCTAATAAATATTCAGCAAGTGGTTAGTCTGTCCATCCTCGGCGCGTCCTTTGCATACCCACTGCCAGCTACTCTTTCACAGGCAGTTTTACTTGGTAATTTACAAATGTTCTGTCTGCACTCTGCACCTGCCAGCATTGCAGCAATTAGCTGGGGGATGCAAAATGATTTCTAAATTAAGGTTCCAGACTTGTAAAATCAAGAAAGCCTGATAATCAACATTGGAGCTCTGATGGCTACCGAGTACTGAGATAAATAACTAGGAGGAGTCCTACTAGTACCCTGCGTGCGAGTACTTATAGTGCCTGATGATAGTGCCTGACCTACAAATTGGATCTCTAATCAACACGTGATGTGCAGGTCAAAGATTGAAGGTTGGCAGGAGGTTGTGTGAAGTTATTTAAAATCGCTCCTTCTTCAGTGGCCTGCACAAAAGTGGAGAAGGTCTAAGCATGATTGGAGCATCCTCGATTAGAGTACATGTTAGCCATGAGGTAAAACCTCAGACAGGTACAGGCTAATAAAAGTGGGCATCATGCCCTAGAATTACCGGTATGGCCAGGAAGCTGGGGACCGGGCCACCTGCTGAACACGCGGACAGGGAGGAGGACGTGAGATCAGGGAGTCTCATTCCGGGACTGGGCCCGGGTGGCACAGAACTTGGATCCCTGGAAGGAGAAAACTAGGAGGCTAACGACCAGACCAAGCAACCCAGGACAGAGCAGGAGAGGGTGGAGGAAGATGGGAAGAGGAGGAGGCCGGGGAGAAGAGCGGAAGAAGAGGAGGGGAGGGGGAGAGGGTGGAGCGGGGAGGAGGAAGGGGAGGGAGGAAAAGGGAGGCAAGAAAAAGGCGGTGGAGGAGAACAGACCCGCCCTGCCGGCTTCCTCCTCCGCTCACTCCTCCGGCCCACCCCGTCCTCTTGCTGCTCTCCAAAAGCGCGGAGGCGTCGGCTGTCCACCACCGAGTCCCCCGGCGCCCTCATTCCACCCACCAGCGCAGCCCAGCCCAGCCGAGCGCAGCCCAGCCCGGAGCAACCCAGCTCCGCGTCCCGGCAGCTGGTCTCGCGCGCGCCCCCGCTCCCGCTCCGG